ATCTAATGCAAGAGCTGGCTGGATGAAAGACTGACTCTCTGACTCTCTGACTGACTGAGTGACTGAATGACTCCCTGACTCAATAACTGACTGACTGGATGGATGGTTCGTTGCTTCGTTGGTAAAGCGATCAAAAGTCGCTAAAAGCAAACGCACACTGACGGCGTTATTATTGATTTAAACATCAAGATAAATTACATTGAAGCCTGCACGCCCCGAAGAGTCGACAGTCGAAAATTTGGAGAGGAACGTTTGGGCCTGTAGTTGAAACTGAAGCTGCGCCATCATGTTGGGGGGTACACACTCGAGGCACTGAAAGAAAAGAGGGTGCTCTTTGGGTGGGAGATTAAAGAATGAATTGGGAAGCTTTTAAATATTTAAACTATTATTCCTACGGCTTTAATTGATTCTCTTTGGAGATACATTAAAGAGATACATTGTTCTATCCCAAATAAATCTCTTGTAAATTTTAGAGCACATTTCAAGACTTTTTAACCTGCAAAAACTATCTCCCAGTGAGTTTAACTTGCAACTTAAGATATCATAGAGCAGCCCCAACCATTTCTCTGCGTGCATTTGAATCTCTTTCTGGCCACTAACGAAGTTTTGTTGTAATTGTGGGTAATTGTTGTTGCTGCAGCGGTATTCTCTCTGTTTTTTTTCTCTTGCTGTTTTTTTTTTTTGGCTTTTGGGCGCTACAAATTTCCAAACCCACTAGAGGCACATTTGAACTGGCGCACGATCGCAAAAAGACAAAGCGCAGAAGAGGGAAAAAAGAAGGCAGCAATTGTAACATCAACATGAGATGTGCCCTGGCTCCAAAGGAGCAACGTGCCACAAGACGCTGCCGTAGCTGGATCGTAGCTGGAGCTGGAGCTGGAGTCTGTCTCTAAGGCTGGGTCTCTGAGTCTGGATCTGGGCTTGTGCCTGGCTCTTTTGCTACTTTGACTTGTCGCTCGTTCCAAAACGTCGAATGCGTCTAATTTCTTGGCTTGCTTTTGGGCTCTATTTTGTTTGTTGTCTATTTTGTTTTTGTTGGGAAGTTCTCTCCGCCTTTGAATGTCGTGTCTTGGCTTCAGCTTGGGCTTCAACTCCAACTCCGTTCCGTTCCGTTTCGATCCATTCCATTCCCCCAATGTCTGGTCTGTGCGCTGGCTGCCGCGTTTGTCGTTTAAATCGTACCACCACAGGCGACATAAAAATAATGAAGTGTGCGGGTGTGGTCGACTCGCTTTTGGTCTGGTCTGGTCTGCTCAGCGCAGCTCAGCGCAGCTCAGCTCAGCTCAGCTCAGCTCAGCTCAGCTCTGCTCCGATCTGCTCTGCACAGGGACGCAACGGGAACGGGAACGGGTCTTGGGGTCTGGCTCCGATCGCGTCGAGTCTCGAGTCTGGTGCTGGCATGGTCTGGGTCTGGGACTGGGACTGGCCGCTCAGATCGCGGCGACTGTCGACTGTCGAAGTCATAGCCGCCAAGCGACGTTTGCAGATTGCTGAGTCGTGTTTCGCCCAGCGGTGTATGCGGCGGACACATAACCAAGGGAACATTTTTGCAGGTAACTTATTTTGGTTTGGGTTGTTGATTCGGGGAAGTTTGGTAGGATCTCAGCTGTAGGGCAGGGAAAGACGATCTTAGAACATGGAAACATTAATTTCTTGACAAATATTCTACATATTTTTGTAGCTGAAAAGTAACCTTTGAAAAAATATCTCCCTGCAATCGAAACTTACACTTCAAAATAGTTCCCGAACATCTCAAATTTTCGCAAAAGAAAACGTTATATTTTTTAGAATTATTCTTAAATAGTGGCAATTTTCATAATGGAAACAAAACTTAGCTATGACGACAGTCCAGCAAGCAAGCGGCTCGCCATGGGTCCGAGTTCAGACTCTGAGGCACAAGTTTCTAACAAGTAGTTGAATATAGATACATCCGGGACGTATTATACGTATTCCTTCATTACAGAAAGGACAATCCTGAACAATTTTGTATTTATCAGAGAGCTAAGCACACGAAGACCTTGGAGCTAGTTCTAACAGAGTTCACGCTATTGGGCATCATTTTGCCGCACTTAACCGCTCGCTTAGTCAAGCGCTGTCAAAGGCGTGGCATCAATGGCTACATCATAACGAACTTTGAAGGACTACAGGCATTTGGCGTGATGGAGGGATCCGCAAAGGATATTCAACATCTCAAAAAGTGGATAGAAACCTGCTGTGTGCCACCCAGGCTTACGCGTAGATTTGTGTTTTCGATGTCGAATGAGTTCAAACTTGCGCGACGGCAAAATTACACAAGTTTTGAGCAGCGACAAGAACGTTAGTCAACACTGAAATTTATTCAAGTTCTTAATTAAACTTTAAATTGCACTCGAACTAAAAACTGCAAGCAAACGTAATGCTCAAACCAATAATTTACTGCGGAATGCTGCAGTCTAGGAGCAGCTGCATTTTCTGCACGCCAAAAATGTCTGTTGGGTTACGCGCGCTCTGTGTGTGCGCGCTGGTGGTGGTGGTGGTTGGTGCACACGCCCAAACCAACTGCAAAAATATAACGGCATCCAAGGTTGTGCTACGCTTAAAATGTAATTGTTCGACTTAAAGAGCCAGAGCAGCAACAACAACAACAACAACAACAAATCGTACGCGATCAAGTTTGCCTCCCAGCCGCCTGCCTCTGCCGCTGCCTCTGCCTCTGCCCGTATGTCGCCGTCGCCGTCGCCGTCGCCGTCTAATCAAATACATACCAGACCAAGAGGCCCAGAGGTAGAGCTGGAGCCCCAGAGAGCAACCCACCTATGCGCACAGATACAGATACTTACGTACGTACCCCGTACTGTCGAGATACATAGATAGCATGTATGGGCAGAGACACCAACGTCAGCGAAGCGCCGCACTCTGAGGAGCCCCACACACACCACACCCCTCCGCCTCAGCCTCAGCCTCAGCTTCAGCCTCCTCCTGCAGCTGGAATGAATTTTCACTTGAATATTCGACACACTTTGAGCACAGTCTGAAAGGTTTCAGGATTTGCTTTTCTGGGAGGGGCGCCAAAGCGTTTGCTGTCGCTGCGATTCTTGGGGCTATGCATCATCATCATCATCAGAGGCAGCAGCAGCAGCAGCAGCGGCAGCGGCAGCGGGCCTCAGTTTGGAGCAACATGGCAACATGTTGCAATATTGCCAGCTCTCTGCATGCATAAAATATTATGCAACAACATTATGCCACAGACACGGGCCAGACAGACGACACTTGGCTGAGAGGAGAGCACACTCTCTGCGCCGTACCCTGCCCCTTTCCTCCGCTTATTAGTGCCTAGATGTTGACAGCATTTAGATCTAATTGAATTGCCCGAATCTCGCCAGAACATTTGGCTTGGCTCCCCATAACCCATAAATCTCACACACCACAAACCGAACGAACGAGCCGAAATTTATAGAGTTCAGATTGCGAAACGGCCGAGACTGGCAGCAGCCAGCCAGGTAGCGCCACGGAAAAGCCATGGAAGACAAAGAGCTACGAATAAAACTTTTGCTTGGAAAAATCTTGAAAAATTAAAAATGACTAGTGCCGGGGCACGATCAAGAGCAAGTCAGTGCTAGCTGCTAGCTGCCTCCGTCTTTGCCAACAATGGCAACTACCACGTTGAGCGAAATACAAAAAAAAAGATGCACAAGATGGAAGACCCCGGACCCGTAAACGACCCCAGCAACAGCCAAGAGCCGCTGGAGTCGTCAGTCGGTAGTCAGCATTGGGGCGTCTGCAGTTCAACGTTCAAGTGGCACAGTACGCCCTAGAAAAATGAATTGATTCGATTGTTTTTGCCGACTCCATGGCCTGGCTCATTGTTTCCCCCCGTGACTGACTGTCTTTGTGGCGGCTTATCTGCAACTTCTGCACAAAATCACAGGCAAGCCGGCAACCCAGCAACTAGCAACTAGCAGCCGCCGAGCCCGCCGAACGCGCCCCAAAAACTGATGATACAATCGCGTTTTTGACTTTGAAAAGTCAGCCCAAGTCAGCAGCGATGCCGCGTCTCCAGCTCCGGCCAGTCATCCATTGTTCAATGGCCAAAGACTCCTCTACCCAGCTCCGGCTCCGACTCCGACACTGATTGTTATGGTTTATGAGATGAAAATGCACTCGAAACAATATTTTTTGGGGGCGATTGCAATTTGCAGTTTTTTTAATCAACTCCGAGAAACTGTGTACTTCGGGGACTAACATTAGAGCGTTGCATTCCAGCTGGAGGTGCACTCCCACCTTTTGGCCCACGGTCCATGGTGTGTGCAGCTGAACACCTCAGCTTCCAGCTACAGCATCAAGGTCATGCGAGACTGCAGGGGGGTCTTATTCTAACATAGCACGTACATGGAGGTTCATCCTGTGCTGGGATGAGGTTTTGGGTGGGATGTGCACTACTTACGGGAACTTTTTTAAGCAGAGAAAATATGATTTTGCATGGGAATTAAATTCAAAGTTATTCATTCCATGGGGACAGTTGGATGAGCACTTTAAGCACATCGTTCTCTGGGCTTTTACAATTCAAAATAATATTAATTATAGGAGCACAGTTTTGCATACATAAATGATGAAAGAGGGACCCATTTCGAATCAGGAAATGGTCTAGGAATTAATTGAATGAAATCTAAATGGTTCATTCTCTTTAAGGAAATTCCTTCAGCTCAGAATGTATAGAGAACTGTTGCACTTAAGAGTTCTTTAAGCAGACTCGTTTATCTTCTCAGTTTCCCATCAACCAAAATGATAATCAAAACTTCCCAAACGAAGGACTCCTTCTCCGCTGGCCAAAACTCTGCAATTTCTCCCAGTGTAGATGCGACTCGTGCTAGGCTGCAATGCTCCAGCCATTGTTCAACACTGTTAAAGCCACTCAATCTCTTAATTAAATACACTACTAAGGGCAGGGACAGGGGGAAATCACAGGCAGCCTCTGTAGAAGCTGCAGCGGAGTCGGAAGAGCTTGCAGTTTAGTGTCGAAATTGTACAAGTTTTCGTTTGATTTTTCCTTTTATTGTTATTATTGCTGTTGTTGTTGTCTGTTGTTGTCGGATGGATGGATAATCACAGCTCGCAACCAAAAAATTAAATCAGCCAAGGTTATCGCATTAATAAGCCCCCTGGTTCTGCTCTTTTGGTTTTTACAGCTTCAGTTTTGAGTTTTTAGTTTCAGTTTCAGTTGGTGCTTCGATTTTGATTTTGATTTTGGAGCTCTAAGAGCTGCTGCTGCTGCTGCTGCTGCCTGCCTAGTCAATTATTAAATTTGCAATTTCCGCAGCTGAACTTTTGGGGTCAGTAGACTGATTTAAATCAAAGCTATAATTGAGCCTCGCCTGAGAAGCCAGAACCGAACGCGGTCCACGAGGTGCCGCGAATACCAATCTGGGGGTCTGGTAAAAATTGACAAATGTTTGATGGCTGTGGCTACACCCCAGTGCCGCACGGACGCCCTGGCCAGAGGCAACGGATGTGGGCAACAGGCAACAGGCAAAAGCAAAAGCAAAATCAAAACCATAGAAATGCCCAGCTTGGGTGAGGCTGAGGCTGCGGCTGAGACTCCACACACTATCGTACAGCTAAGTGGCTTTCCATGACATTTTATTGACACTTTTTGTTGAACTGGAAGACCTGTTTTGCGGTCCTCCACTTCACACATTTGACGAAGATGTCTATGCCAGCAAATGACGTGTCATCAATGGGAAGTCTACGCTCCCACATAAAGATGCAACTCTTCAGCTTCAGCTCCAGCTCCAGCCACAACCTCAACCTCAGCCACAGCCACAACCACAGCCAGCACCACAAATCCCATCCCATCCCATCCCATCCCATCCCATCCCAGGCACTTGAAGCTCTCAAATCTGATGTACACTGAGCCTCTTGGCTCTAAGCTCTCCGAGCTGAGCCGTGTGTCTGTTGTATTAATAAGCCTGACATTTGAGCAGAGCATCCATCCACTTCGTAGCCATCACCAGCACCGCCACACGGCACCGCCATCGATGTTTGGGTTTTGAGTTTGAGTTTTTGGTTTTCTGTGTGTAGGCGTTAGAAATAATAATTAAAAAATCGTTTCTAATGCGGAAATCTCGCGCGCTTTTGCCCTGGCCGGGGGTGAGCTTAATGCCGAAGATGTTAGACAAATATATCAGATTTCGTGTGTAGCTTTGTTGTTGCTGTTGCCTAATCTTTGATGGGCAGAAGTGGTGGGAAGAGGCTGAGTAATCAATGTGGAGACATGGGGACATGGCTAAAGATGAATCAATGAGAATGAGCAATTGAAAGTTGAGCTGCGAGTTCTTACAGAATGAATCAAAGATTGAAAGGGAACTCTAATTTATGCATGTTTGAGTGGTGTTTGGTGAATTGCTGCAGATAAGGTGAAGAAAACCTCCTTCAAAAGCAGATGGACAGGTAGAATAAATGAGTTAAGATCTCAGAGAACATTGTTGAAATATTCACATAATCGATGCTCTTGCATAAGGAACAGTGTAAAGGTGTACTTGGAGCAGCACCTTGGATAATATTAGAAGAAAATGGTGAATCTTCCTTAGGCAGATGTCCGCTTAATGTCAAGCTTATATCGGGAAACCTGATTGAAAACGTTTAACATGATCAATCCCCCATGAATGTGTGCCTCTGGAAGGTGTTCGGTGCAGTTCGCTCTCTTTATGATATCATTTTGAGTTATTTGTCTAATGGTTGTCAGCTAAAGGAGTTATTCAAAATGGTAGGGGAGAAGCAGATGCCTTAGTCAGCGTTGATTGAGGCCAAAGGGGAATTCGTTGGCTTGGGCTGGGTGAACAGAAAAGAGATTAGGCCAAGTGTCCATGCCTCCATTTTGTGGGAGCCAAAGCCAAAGTCCAATAATTAAATATGTAAGAAGCAAAGCGCCCAAAGTTAATAACAGTCACTGGTGGTGGTGGTGGTGGCTGCTGCTGCTGCCACAGAAGCCTTTTTGCCAGCCAAACGCTGAAAATTTAATAATCCCCTGCGAGTATAAAGAAGCAAAACCCCATTGAAAAGACAAAATGCATGCCTCTGCGACTGCGCCGAGGTCTGCTGTGGGTCTGGTCGGGCCTCTCCGCCTGGGCTCTGGACACAAGCCCAGATTTAGATACGAGTCCGAGGCACAAGGGGCAGTGGCAGTGGCAGGCTCCTCGTAGCTGCGGCGAGAAGGTCAGACCCCGCACGTTTCATGGCTCATAGCGCACCTATCGTATAATTAGAAACGAACGACGACAACACGACGACAACGACAGATACAGTCCGACAGTTTTCAGTTCGCCTTTTGTGTCTGTGTGTGGCCCAACGACGAGCGACGACCAGCGAGCGAGCGGCTCTCCATGAGGTGTGGGAAGGGGGTTGGCTAGGAAGGTTGGTTGGCTCTCGGGTCGCTCTACGCAGCAAACGATTCTTAAATGAGCCAATTGTGGAATGCCTAGTGTTATACATAAGCCCCAGAGAGAGATCTCCAGATACAGATATGTACACACGTTCCTCATGTATGTCTGTCGCACAATGTATGCACAAGAGGCATAACAATAAAAATAAAGAAAAAACATAAGGGAGAGGAATGGTTTGTGTGTCTTGTAGGGGACCACTGAATGCTCTGCTTATGGGGAGAAGATGTTATTGGAGGGAGACTGACAGCAAGTATACGGAAATATAAGGAAAATATAAAATATTTATGTGTGTATTATAGAAGCAAAATTATGGCAGATTTCTCCTGTATGACTTTACATTAATTTTTGGCCACACTTCAGAGTTGAATTGTAATTTAAGTCCATTCCTGCAAAAAAGTGATGAAATTCTTGGTTAAAATTATTGATTTAGGCTTTAGAAATTAGACAAAACTATATGTTATATTTCACTCTCTTGGATATTTAATTTTCACACAATAATCACTCTCAGGGCATCCCTTTGCATAGGCCATGGTGAGTTTCAGGAAACTCCGTCTCAAACCCATTAGACTACTAAAAACACAATATGTACAATCATTTCCTAACGGCACAAGTACCTAAAGGTAAATAGAAATTAAGATTATCATATAGTATGCTTAATATAGTTTCCATTGCTAATAGAATTCCTTGGGATTGCCTTTTAAGGCCGCTCGCGAAAGAGTGGGCTACCCCATAAAGATAGCCCCAGTTCGTTATGGTACGAGACTCCACACTCCACACTCCACGCTCCGTACAGATGGGGCTGGCAGTGCTGCTCTGCTTGGACGGGGCACAACGCCATCATAGCCAAATGATCATGACGACGACGATGGTGGGCCCCAGAGCAGACCCAGACCCCGACTCCGCCACCCGTCACCCGTCACCCATACGATTCCCATTCCGATGGTCGTCGTAGCGTCACGTCGAATCGACCGGCCATGCAAACAAGGCAAGAGAGAGAGAGAGAGAGAGAGACAAGTCTCGAGAGGGGGGTCAGCGGGCAACGGGCAACGGGCTCTCTGATACGTCGACAACATCGCTGGCTATATATATGCTCACTTTCGATGTATTTCATTTTTTCTTTCGTTTTCATTCGCTGTGCGATTTGAAAACGTTTAAACAAAAAACTCAACAACCAGCAACAACATCCACAGGCGGGCGGGTCTTCTGCACACACACAGGCAGAGAGACACGGAGAGGCGATACATTGAGCATACAAAAATACATTTTTATGATCGTTTCTTTCTGTTTTTCGGAGCCAATTATGTGTAGCAGCTGGCATGCCTACCTGCCTGCCTCGCTGCCGTTAAGGAGGTGTAGGTACAAATGGAAGAGATAACAAACAGAAAGAAGCAAAGAGAGTGCGAGAGAGTGGATGTAGAGAGCGGAGCGGGGAGGTGTTGGAGCTTCTCTTCTAAATGCTGTCGTGTAATTGTTGCTATTTCTTGTTCTTGTTATTGTTTTTCATGTTTTAGTTTTAGTTGTTTGCCATTTTGTTATTTCGCTTCGCTGCTTGTTCATCACCTCGTTTAGCTCAAAGGCATAAGCCATAAAATAAACGCTTATTTAGCCGTTTAGCGTTTAGCGTTTTGTTTTTTGTGTTTTTGTTTTTGCATTGGCTAATTACATGAACACTTTAATTATGCATAAGCGCCCCGGCATCGTGCCTGCCCGCCCCGACTTATGGGAATCGCTTTGGTATGGGATCGTTTATGCTAATTTTCCCCACAAAGGCTACAAATCGGGACCACAATACACACACGTGCACTGGCTCTGTGGCATTCCTTGTGTCAGCTGTACAGCTATGCTTTATACAAAGTTAATCAGGAAATTCTTCAGCGAAACAGAACATGATTTATGCTGACTTGATTCGATGGGCAAGAGCAAGGAAAACAATTTGCTAGAGATCAATGGGAATGGCAGGTAAATTGCTTAATTAAGAGAGAACCTTTGGAGCGGGGAGTTCCTGGATTATTTGTACAATTTGAAGGAGCAGAAAGTAGGAGATGGCGATGGAGTTGCTATTTATACTGATTTATATTTTATTTGGAATTCAAAGCAACAGAAACACCTCTCTGATTGCATTCCAGCTTACTTCTTTCTCTTCTTTCTGACACACAACATTCCAACTTCAATCATGTACACATTTCTCCCAATCACTCAACAAAGGATGACTGCAGCTCCTCCCCCATCACCTTGCAACAAAATTCCAACTCCCAGTAGGCATTGGTAACCCAGTTTCCCCTGCACTTACTAATTAATAAGAGATAATCTTCAATTGAACTCATTTGCAGCGCACAGAGCGCAGTAATCCTCTCCAGCAAACTGCAGAAGGAAAACTCTCGTATAGCAGATATGCCTCGGCACTTGGGCATTATCAAACCATCAATCAAGGCAAGACAACAAGGCGCTTCCTTGGCCAAAACAGAAAGCAGCGGAGGGAGGAGAGCGAGAAGAGAAAAACCCATTAAGGAAAAATAGAAAAATAGTTGTGAACCCATTGACTCAAATAAATAACCAGACCCGTGGCACGCGGCTGGTTGCCTTGGCTGACGAGCAGCTTCAAGCGAAGAGACGAGACATGAGATCTCCTCCAAAGATGATGGCAGATCATCAGCAGGAATAACAACAGCACAGCACAGCACAGCACAGCAGAGTAGAGCAGCAACAGCTACAATAATAAGATGGAACGGAAAGGAACCAAACCAAAACTGAACCGAACGTGGCAGAGTGGAGCACAGAGCTGAAATTTGCAAATATCTATGCCATAAAGCTGCCAAGTGTTGGATGATGTTTCCCCACTGTTTTGCCCCATAATGATGACAACGACGATCATCATCATCTACATCTGCGCGGTGAGGATGCCAGTGAGGGGTCCCATAAAAAACGGACAAACGACCTGATGCATGGGGTGCATCTAAATCTACTCTGGGCATCTACCTGCAGCATGCAGCAGCCTGGACAGGCCTCCACCACCGATCTAAGGCGAACTGAAAGACGTTCAAAACGGGGGGCTACCTTGCCGCGTAACGGTAAAATTTCTACAAGGGAATGTGCTTTCATTTTGAAGTGTTGTATGTCCATGGACTTGGACTTGGACACCAAGCAGCAGCAGCAGCCGCAGCAGCAGCACCAGCATCAGCACCAGCCATGGTGAGGCCGAAAAATCAAAGCAGATACAAGAGGAGTCCGTGCTACTGTTAGACAGCAGCAGCATCCAAGGCATCAGCAAGAGGCAACAGCAGGCAACGGCAACGGCAGCTGGCAGTTAGGCAGTTAGTCACTTCACAAAGTCATTTTTGATTTGATCGATTTCGTGCAACAGCCAACGAGGAGAGGCAGCAAGCCAGAGCCAGAGCCAAAACCGCAGACGTGAAGTGGCCGCGGCGCACATGACATGGACTTGAACATGGACATGGACATTGAAATGCTAGATCCCCAGATGCCCGGTCTCGTGCCAACGGCTCACTACAAGTAGGACACACAGCGAGGAGAGCCATGCCATGAGGCGAGAGACCCTTCTCCTTCTCGGACGCTGACCGTATGTTAATCTGCGATCAGTGAAAGAACCCGTTGAACTTTCCCATTTCCCATTTCCCAATTCCATTTCCCTTTCCCCTCAGCCCCCCCCCCCATGAAGGAAGGCTTTTAATTACAATGGACAAACGGACACCCCAGAGGCATCCAGACTGCCGCTTTTGGGGCTCCGTTCAACATGTGGCACCGTCCAGCAGCTGGCGGCGACTGCTCCACGCTCACTTTTCTGTGGGCTTTGAGCAGCTTTTGTGTGGATGCCAAGTGGATTCGTTTCTAGCTACAGCTTCGGCTTTTGGCTTCGGCTCTGGGGCGGAAGATCTCCACCCAGTTTCGGATGCAGGCGGCCCAGCAGCTCGGAATGTTGCCGCGACGCTGGCAGAATTTTCATTGAGTAAAACGCGGCGCAGCTGTGGGCAGGATGCAGCGGCGACGGCGACGACGACGACGACAGCGCATCGCATGGCTTGGCTCGCGTCGATCTTGTTTGTGCCCCTCATTTACCGTTTCGGCGTCGCGTCGCATTGCGGCTGCGACGGGGGGGAACTCAAACCCGTCTAGGCAGCTGCTTGCATGGGAATGTAGCTGTGTATGGGTAGATGCTGTGTGTGTGTGTGTGTGTGGATCGCTCTACATTAAGAAAGAAGTGTATTAGCTTCGATTTATTGCATCGTTTGCTCGGTCGCTCAGTCGCGCAGCCGCTGCCGCAGCCTAGGCTTCCTCTATGCAGCGCCGCTGCTTAGTTCGGTTCGGCTCGACTCGGGCTCGGTGTGTGGATCGTGAGTTGGAGTCATCACTGGAGATCGGCGATCAGCTCGTTGTATATTCATTCAGAGCACCCATACAGCCAGCGAAGACGTCGCTGCCTCCTAGTCGCGTCTATTTGCGTTTTTTTTTTTCTGTTTCTTCTGTTGTTTTTCTTCTGTTTTTTTTAGCTTTTTGTTATTAGGAAATCGAAAACGCTTTGGCTGCTGATGCTGCGCCAGCGACTCTGCCGCCTATCATCAGTCCGTGAGACGGTCTCAAAGCTATTGGTCGTGTTGTCGCTTGTCGGTCCGAACCGAAACGAAACGAAACGAACCGAACCCAGCCAGAGCCCAGGCTAGAGATCGCACTGAGAGAGCACACGAGCAGCGTGGCGTATCGTAACGGGACGAAACGTGAGAGAGAACGTAAGCGCGCGCGCGTACCGAACGGTAACGCGATAACGGTAACACATTCAAATGTACCACTAAGCAAAAAGTTAAATAAACTAGTGTGAAGTGATTTCGAGGATCGAGGATCGAGGATCGAGGATCGCACTGGGACATCCCTTGCAAAATGTGAAAATTAAGCATGAAAAACGGCAACCAAAATATGCAATGAAATGTAATTCCTACTTCACTTTCATCCTAGACAAATACAAATCCAAAACAAATAAAAACTCCTACCCCCCAAAATTCCTATAGACATACTCGTACTCCTTCCTACTCAACTAATGGATAAAAGTTCTTTAAATCTGCATAAATCATAAAATAAACCAATATAGTGGAATAAATAATTCACACAAATCAAAGCACAAATCGTAAAAATCGTAAAAAGAACTTCTGAAAAAGTAGAAAGAAAAAGACACTTTTATGGACTACGCCCAAGTGCAGTGCACAGATGCATATCTATGGCCTATATACACCCAAGAGATCGGTGCTAAATCAATGATAACTACATACTTAGATCCAATTAATGCAAATTATGACAGCCAGCGCTTAAATGCAAAGCGAATTAAGCTGCGCGGAAATCGCAGAATCAGAATCAGCATCGGAATTGGAATCGGACTCCAACTCGAACTCAGAGACAACGCGCTGGACATGTGTACAGGTCGATGATTATGGGCAGACATTAAACGGACAATCCATAATGAAATTATAAAATAGAAAAGATTATAGCCTGTCCAGATAGAAACGGGAAGGTGCAGCAGAGATTGTCTGGTACTTATTGCACGAGAGAGCGACTGGAGATTGGATCGATGTCAACCCCCAACGAGAACAGCAATTAAAGTTAATTAACTAGTAAAATATAATAATAATAAAAACAACAGCCTGTACCATAAATCAGCAAGAAAAACAGCAAAACAAACGCGTATCCGAAGCAAAGTGAAGGAGTGATTGTATAAAGTGTAAAAAGTAAAGTAAAGATAAAGATTAAAAAATATCTCAGAGCAGGCCCTTCTCATATACGTACAACAAGCAAGATCCTAAACAACAAGAAATGTAAAACACACAACATAAAATATAATAAATTATTAACTAAAAGAAACTCTACAGAATCTTCCGACTAAATCGCCAAAAACCCAAACAATTTTCCAATTTTTAAACAAAGTTTAAGGCCAATTTCCTTGAAAATAAAATAAATTACATAAATTGAACAACGAAAACCACTTAAAGGCATTTCCCACGCAGCCGTCGGCTTTGTTGTTGGCTGCCTTCAGCAATATCTAGATATATATTTGATCGATCACAGGATGACTTACGCGCCACAACAACAACGAGCAGCAGAGCCAACAACCACAACAGCCAGAAGATCAAATTTGTGTAGCAGCCAATGCCAGACGGGTTATCAACATCCGTAAAAGCAAAGGAAAAAAAATTATTAAAACCCCAACAACGTTGCAACAGCCAAACGGTGCTCAAATGGTGATTTCTTCCTGCCAACGGCCAGCGGATATCCGTGCGGATTTTACCATAAGATCTGCAACAGCAACAACCAGAGCCCCAACAAGTTGTGCAATTAGAGCAGAGCTGCTCCATCAACTAGAAGAGGCTGGCAAATTGATGCCACTGCCACCACCAAAGCCGCATCACTATCAAGCATGTAAGTATCAGCAGGCAGGAGATGGGGCTTGGCTCATTAGATAATAATAATAATAATAATAATATCTAGTGCAGTCAGAGATTCTAAAGATGGGTGAAAAATATGCACAGAGCAAGTATAAGAGAGGATGAGGAAATACGGGACTTAGAAGTTGAGGAGGAAGCATTTAATATCCCATAAAGTATTTAAACCCAGAATGGAAAAGATCTTCCAATGAAATTGATTCCTTTTAAGCCTTTCACTGCATTCTATCAATGCTTTCTAAACGATACACTGTTATCACATTTCCTTGTGACAAAAACACAACTAACTGTAATCAATATTGCGTAAGAATATCATCAAGTTGCCATGCAAAGTAAAGGCTTCCCACCCATAACTCGCCTCTTCACAGGATCGACATCGATTAGACTTAATGTCAACTCCCCACGATGAGTACTCTTTGCCAGCACCTCAATTTTATAGATCATTTTCGGTTTTATATCTTTTATTTTTACACAAAAAAAAAAAAGAAACAGAAACGATCCGCACACAGAGACACAAACATTGAGATACATTTCGTATGTAAGCAAGATTCAAGGCTTCCACCGTGCCGAGACTGTATATTTTTCTTGTATTGTAATTGATGAATGAATGAAATTGAAGTTCGAGTAATGACGCAGCGATTTCGGCAGCCGCATTAGGATTTAGCCAAAAACGAAAGACGAGAGGCAAGCGAAATAAAGTTGTCCACACAGATACAACACACATACAGATGTGCACACCACTTGGAGATACACTTTTTAATTTGGCAATCAAAAGAAAAAATAAATTATATAATTTAAGGTTTGGCTACGCCTAAATTCACGCACTTTTGCGCCACAAAAAAAATATTTGTAGAGCATTTTTCGATAAATGTTTTTGTTGCTTGAAGCCTTTCAGAAGAGTGTTTCTGTTTTTCGAAAGTGATTAATAGGTTTGACATGTTACTTTTACGCTAATTGAGCGATCAAAAATCGAATCGAATTTCGCCCAAGCAATGTGAAGGGTGAAAGGGTAATGATAATCCCTCGCCCAAAAGAGAAATAAAATTGTCCAAGACCAATTTGTGCGTTAAATGCACGGAAAACGTTTCAACGTTTCGAATGTATCCATCCCCAGTAGATGACTGTGCCCCATATTCGTGGCATGTATCCCACAGCTGCTGCAGATCGTACATTGTATCCATCCATAGGCATTGAGGCGATTAGTAGCGCCTTTCGATTTTTTGTTCAGAGTGAATGTTTTGGGCGCGTCCCAGGCCACCGCATTGGATGGGATGGGAGGAGTGGGGCAAATTAAGCAGGTTAATTTAATTTTAAATAGAAGTTGATGGTCTGTCCGGTCTGCTCCGTTCCGACTCTTTCTGGGTGTGCGGTGGCAGATGGGCGTAGAAGAAGCGCCCGCAAAGCAACAGATCATTAATTAAACGTTTGGAGGTTAGTGAGTGAATGAGTGAGTGAGTGAGTGAGTGGCCCAGTCCAGGCAGGTTGATGGAGCCAGTCCGGCAGTCACAGTTCCAGTCTTAGCACGTTAATGAAGTCTGCTAGTAGACACATCATTAGCCGAAGAACAGACATGAAACACTTTTTAGGGAAGTGACGAATCGAATGTACTTCGGACAGTTCAATGAAGTTCTCAAAAGGAGAGGCCCCAAAACAAAATTAGATTGTAAGCTGCACATTCTTTTTGTGCTAAATGGAGGTTTGTTAGCAAGATTGTTTTGTTGTTCCTATTTGGGGAATGTATTTTAAACATAAAGATACATATTTTGTTGATTCCTCTAGTAAAGTTTAATGCAAGAAATATTTGTACTATTCAGAGATAGAAATAAAAATATTCGTGGAAGATTTAGAAGCAATGTTATTGCTACAATCTTAGCCCTCAAATGGCTTCCAAAGTCAAACTCTTCAAATTTCTTCCCATCATTATCTTTGACTTGCCAAAAAAATTAAACAAACTATCCCCCAGCAACATCTTCAATCGGAAGTGCAAATTATGTACAAGAAAATGCCCAAAAAAATTACCATAAACCGAAAAAACGCACCGACTGAGACATTGTTAAAGACGAGACGGAAAAACTTTCAAATAATTCGAAAATTCACACACACAAAACGCATCTTATGAGGTGGCGAGCAGAAAGATTATGACATTTGATCAGATCGATTTGGACGAGAAATTTGTTTACGGCATTCAAAAATGGAAATACAACAAATAAAAATATAAAATGCCAATTACTGAGGTGAAGTGAGCAGAAAGATGGTGTTGTATTGAAGGAAAGGAAGTAAAAATGTAACGAAATGAAATGAAATGTTTGAGAGATAATCTGCGAAATGATGACCATGACTCTATATATAGAGAGGCTGGACTGGACGGGGTCCGGTTTGGTCTACAAAGCTCTAGCACCGACAATTGCAATGCACTGGCTGTGGTGGGGATGAGGTTGAGGGAAAGGTAGCTCTCGGATGCCCACTGGCAGAGCGGGAGCCGAGTGTAGCAGAGACTGAAGCGTAATCCAAGGCAGTTAATTGCGCCTTAAACCGGAAGCGATGGCTTTGATTGCGTTACACATTTTGCTGCTGCGCTGGAATGTGCGCTGATTTTTTTCGTTTTGCCATCTCTTTCCAGCCAGCCCTGTAGCCGTGCCTCTCTTTCTCTCTTTGCTCTCTTTCCTCTCTTCAGTGTGTGTGGATTTTTCAATTTCAAACTTTATTTTCGTTTGTGATGATGACGGCGATGACGATGTTGGTGTTGGAGACTCCAATAACCACAGAGCGATCGCAGCAATCTTTTGGTTAGCCTCGGAAATCTGAAAAACAAATCACTTAAGGCTATGCAATGCACAGAGAGCCACAGAGCCACAGAGCCACAGAGTCACAGAGGCAACGTCTTTGGCATACACTTAATCCACATCCAGAGCACGGGGAAGGCCTCGCAATGAAAGTTTCTTTTGCTGGCCGAGTTCGGCGAGAAATTACCGCTGCCCGAAATACGCAAATCGATTAAATGAAAAGCCCACTCCAAAAGGAAAAGTGCCAGAGCAGAGCGGAGACTGCGACTCAAGGCAGACTCTCTGTAAAGCGATGCTCGAGGCCTCGCCCTGACTTATGTAAGTCTCACAATTTGCAATGCAATGCAATTTGCAAATGCAGCCACAGGAGGATGAGTTGTATTTTAATTGGAGCGACAGTACAGCATCTCTGAACAGTTTTCTACTATATATTTTATACGTAAAAAGCGAGAATTATTGAGTGTTTTTTTGCATTGAACTTATTGAGTGCTGGGAATGGAAAGGTCGAGAGAATTATTAGCCAGAACCGGTGTGGAGTACGTAGCTAAAGCTCGACTGTAAAGCTGAGATCTTCTGCCTTCATTTGCTCGCTCTCTCTTTGGGCATACAAATTACAATAATATTTCCAAATTTGCACAAAAGAAAACGCAAATTGAAGTGCAACAAATTCGTACACAAACCAAAACCCAACCTACAATGTTTCTTATCCTAAATCTACCTCCACACACCCACCAAAAATACATCTAACATTTATTTTATAGAGCAATCAAAGCGTAATGCAGAGTTTTCAATCAACCCATCATTATTTCTTTCAATAAACGTTTCCTCCTCTCTCTCTCTCTCTCTCTCTGGCAGAGATGAGATCAGCTCGGATCTCTCATCAATTTAAATCACATTCTAAATGTGCTCAAGATCAATCGGAGTGGCCCAGGCCACACCTTGGGCAGTTGAACTTCTTGCATTAGACAAGACAATCATCAATCGTATCAGAGGCTAACATCTACAATCGCGAGGGCTTCTGCAACTTTGTGCTGCTGCTCCCCTCCGGGCACTACCACCAATCGTTTTGTTTTGTACAGAAAAATGTACTTAAACAACTTAATGATTACCCCACCTATTTGTGTCCGGCAGCAGCAGCAGCAACAGTAACGCATATTTTGAAAGCAAAAGTAAAGTGTTTTGAAAGTAAACTACACTAATTTAAAGCTGTAAATTAACCAACTGAACCGAACAACAACAGACCACAAGAGCTCTTAACCTTGAATGCAATGAGAGAGCTTTTAATTAATTATGTGTGCGAGTGTGTGTACAGGTGTGTGTGTGTGTTTTTACCATTAAAAAGATGTAAAGAAGAGCTGGAATGTGCAGAGAAGTAGGAAGTGTACGATAGAGAAGGAATTATAAAAGAATTCTGTGTGGATTGCAATGAAAAGAACATCCTCATGTATGAGTGGAGAAAAACCCTCACCTTCTGAGTCTCAGAATGTCATGCACAGTGGCAAACATTTGCAAGAGTTCTGCTAAAGAATGTATTTATAAGTTAGAGAAAGAAAATGTAGAAGGAAAATATTATTAGATCATTTCTAGCTCTTCAAAGACATGCCCCCAGGTGTCACCTTATTTTCCACAGCAACTTCTTCTATCAATCCTTCTCTTTGCCTAAGCAAAACCTTGATCGAAAGATGTCCAAAGCTTATCCATTTGCTCAGTTCCTCGATGTTACACTTTATGCCCAAAATTGGGAGCAATTTTCATGCTTGCCGGATCAGTGACAAGCAAAGGCCTAAGGGCAAAACTGCATTATTGTCGCGTAACTTGTACTTGAAAATGAGTTGCCCAAAAAGACAGAAACACTCGACACATCAGTAACAGCAGCAACAACAACTAAAACAACAACAACAACAACAACTACAGGCTATGTCTGATGAGTAAACACAACCAAAGCGAGTAGCACGTTGATTACAATAGGAAATAATCCCACAAATTGCTTTAATATTCACTGCAAATCAAATGAAGTTGTGCCGGTGCCGACTTGCCACAAGAGTGGCAGCAAACAGCAGCAGCAGCAGCACCACCCTCTCTCTCTCTCTCTCTCTCTCTCTCTCTCTCTCACTCCCACAACACCACTGACCCACTCAACAAAAGCGGCGGCACAAAAGTCGCCAAGTTTTGTGTGTCTCCGTCTCCGTCTCTG